TATTAAAAGAAAAAGAATTTTCTATTGTCAGCTTACTGTTATGTCAAGTTTAGTTGCTGCTACCTCAAATGCTAAAGCAGTATTTGAATGCCGATCTGACTAATTTTCATATAATTGATAAATATTATAACGTACAACAAATTTTAGTCTCTCAGGGTAACTTAAAATACCTTGTTTAAAGCGTCATAGTCTAGAAGATCAGGACGATGCCGATGAATCAAGGCACAACTATATAAAAACTATTATTAAACAAAATATGTCTCTATGTATAATGCGCCAATTTAATATTGTAAAAGTAAGAAAAAAACACAAAACTTACAAAGCCAAGCCGTCCTGCCAACTTAATAACCCGAAAATGTAATTAGATAACAATTCATAAAAATAAATTTTTGTCAAAAACATGTATTCATACCTATAAGTGAAGTCACGAACATTAACTTCAGCATAAGGTGCAGTCTTTCTTTGACACCAAAGTAAGAGACCTTCCTTAGCTGTAAGTCCTTCTTGGCTAACATTTTTTTTTTTTTTAAAAAAAAAAAAAAGAAGATATGAGTGATATAACTAGGGTATACTTCTGTAAAAAATTTACAAACCTAATATCTGCGATTGTGAATCTTAATATAATAGTCCAAATCATACCCAGAATAAGTTTAAGGTTGGAATCAACAATATCTGATCAAATTTTGAAACAAATAATTAAATTATAAATATTAATAATAAATTAATACAATAAAATTTCTATATTCTTTAAATTCAAGATTAACAATAAAGAATTTACCTTCAGCACCAATATTTGTAAGGGATACACCTCGGCGTTTAATAAATTCTAAAGCCTTATTCATATTTTCAACTTTTTGAATCCGTAACTTTGGATTCTTATTATATTTTCCAAATGAATAGTCTCCAATAATTTCCTAAATTAAAGTGAGTTTATATCTTAATAAATACTTATTCTTAAGGTAAAAAAAAATATTAAGAGTTAACTTTTTATCAATGCTGAACTACTAAATATTAATAATTAACATTTAATTGTTTTAATAACATAAATATTCTATTTAAAATCCTTCGACTAACCAATTCAACAAATCCGTATAGATCAATTGATAAAGAATCTAACTCTTCATATGCAAAGATTATTTTACTTTTAATC